GAGAGAGAGAGAGAGAGAGAGAGAGAGAGAGTGTGTGTGTGTGAGAGAGAGAGAGAGAGAGAGAGAGAGAGTGGGTGTGTGTGAGAGAGAGAGAGAGAGAGAGGGGGGGGGAGGGGGGGGGGGGGGGGGGGGGGGGGGTGAGCAGAAGAGATCTAAAATTCATGTCTTCCTGCAATAACCTTGTCTACATCCGACCACTAAGACTTCCTCTCTTCTCTGATGCAAAATAATCATGAAAAGACACTTGTGCTGTCACCAGCGCCCTACACTCCAGCTGTCTGCTACAGAGAGAGAGAGAGAGATGTGGTGTCATATGGGATATCAGAGCTCAGGGTCGCAGGGTTAAACATAGAGGAGGTGTGATTATGTGAGTGAGTGTTTTTCTTTGTGTCTGTCTCTGTTAATTAGCTGGTATGGAAGATTTTGGATGAAGCCTTTTGTTGTTGTTTTTGTAAGTGCACTCTTGTGCTTGATGAATAAGGATGCTTTGATGTGATCCCCATTTGATATATATCGGCTGTGATATTAGAGATACTTGGCTTTGTATCTGGATTTTTTATTCTATGTCTCAAACTGCCATAGTTATGTTATTAGCGCACAGTAACAAAGAAGTATCATGGTACTTCACTGAAGAGTTTGAAACCAGACGACTGCTATGCAGTTGAGATCAGACCCAAAATAAATGTTGAAGTGTCTTCATATAGGACATGAGGAGGCAATTACTTTGGTATGCAAGGACTGTTAATATAATATATTTTAAGATGTGTCAGTAATGAGGACAGGACACAGTCTGCCACGAGTCAGTGACAAAGCTTAAGTCATTTAGTATATGAATAATTGAGTTGGCCATAATTTCCATAACATAAAAGTGTGTGAAGTGGTATATACTGTATATTGCAGGCATTGGGACAGCTACTGTCTGCTTAAATTCACTGCAAGCAAAAATAATGCATTTATAGTCAGGATTAAAAAAGTCAAATGCATTCAGTTGCTCTTTAAACCATTTCAGATTCTTGTGTGAATTTATTCATTTTAATTACTTTTTTTTCTATTTATTTAGCCGGCATTTTAGCCTCAGGGTTTATTAATGTGTTTAATGTTTACTTCAATGATCAAAAAATATCTAAAAATGTTTTGTAGTGCACATGGTGTGCTTTGGTCTTTGACTCAATTTGCATTTGATATCTCTCTTCTGGGCAACTGATCTTATTGGCTTTTATCAGTCTGTTCTGTGATTGGCTGCAGCCACAGATGTGTGATCCCTGGAGATATACTGCCAGAGGACATTTTGTTTTGAGAGAAGTGTTTCAGGTTTGCTGCTTGTTATATTAGAACTATCAATTAATCATGCACACTGACCATATGTATATTCCATAATCAGGGATTTTCCTGTAGAAAGCTTGAGCTACCACCTTTATGTTTACCACCTTCAATTCACAATCAGCACAGCCCACCTGTTACTACAGTCAATTAACTATTAGCTATTTTAAAAAACTATTTTGTAATACAAGTCTGTTTAATGCTATACTGTAATTCTGTTCTAAATAGTCAGTTTAAATATTTTTAAAAGAAGTATCTCTTATGTTCACCAAGGCTGCATTTATTTGATCAAAACTGTAATATTGTGAAATATTATTACAATTTAAAATACTTGTTTTCTATTTGAATACATTTGAAAATGTACTTTATTCCTGTGATTGTAAAGTGAATTACTCCAGTATTCAATGTCACATGAAATATGTTTATTTGATGCCCAAGCAACATTCCCTATTATTATCACTGTTGTGCTATGGTTGTGCTGCTTAATATTTTGTGGAAACAATGATTCGTCTTTTTTTTCTTTTCAGAATTCTTTGATGAATAGGACGTTTAAATGAACAGCATTTGTTTGAAATTTTAATTGTTTGTAATATTGTAAATGCCTTTACTGTCACATTTGATACATTTACTGTAATCTTGAAAAGAATTCGGTAACACTTCCAATTCTAACTATTAACTAGTTGCTTTTTAGCATGTCTATTATTAACATATTGGCTATTTATTAGTATTATAAAGCCCATATTCTGTATGACCATTTTCTACATCCCTAATCCTACCCAATACCTAAACTTAACAACTACCTTACTAATTATTAATAATCAGCTAATTAGGAGTTTATTAAGGCAAAAGTCATAGTTAATGGTTTGTTTTTGAACAGTAGTGTATATTTTATATTACTAAGTAGATTTTGTCAACAGATATTTGCATGTATGATTCATTAGATGAATTAATCCTAATATTGTGTTCAATTAAAACCAAATCTTTTATTCACAAAAGCAACTGCACAGTGTATGACTTAAAGCATTTTCAATAAACAATTCATTTTACTGGTCGCTGGTATGCCTGCCACCTCCACACTGAAGTTAATTTGAGTTTAATCAGGAGTTAAAGTCAAGAGTTTAAATTTAGCCATGAGTCTGTGCGTCGGTTTAAAAGAATTCCAGGCCACAGATTGGCTGCAGTAGTACAGCTGATGCCAGTGAGGCTTTTGGGACTTCATAGCATCACACACCATTGCACCATACAGCTGATATGTTCTTATCTTTATCTCTCTCTCTTCCTCTTTCTCTCTAAAATGTTTCTATTACAGTCAAGAATGTGAGTGGAATGCTCAGATCCCTCATTACCTTAAACTAGCGCTTCAGTATTTGCCCACCAGCCCGGTCTGCATTGTCGACAAAGTGTATGTGCAATTCTCCCTCCCTCAGTGAGTGCGTGTGCACTGTAGGTGGTTAGTAACTGCCGTCAAAAGCATTTCATCTGTAGATATTAAAAAAGAAAGCTATTTCTGGAGTCATAATAACGGTTTTCAAGGGAATTTAACAAAGTTTTCTGTTAGGATTCTCTCCAAAGGCATTACAGCCTGAAGAAACACTCCGCATCAGTGCAGCGCCCACTGTTGTAATTTTGCATGTTTACTGGGCCTCCCCTTGAGGAAACTGCAACAACTCACTCTCTCTCTCAATCTATCTAAACACTCACGGGTACAAGCTCATATACTTTCACAACACGTTCGGCATATATGTACACACACACACACCTCCATATGTCAGGTATCTCCAGGGAGCGTATTGTTGACCTGATTTCGATGTGGTCTTACGCTGGAATGATGTCTCTGGCAGCTGTGAAGTACTCGGTCACATGTCCAGAGTGTGAGTTCCCTGGCGACGCTGCTCGCCTTGTTAACTCAAGACACTCGGCGCGTCTCTGAGAACAGTCCAAATGTCAGCGAATCAATGAGTGGGTGACGTGATCGGTCCCACTCTGCTCTAGGTTTCTCTTCATCTAATAAATAGGACTCTTATATTCAATGACTTCATTTACTGAAGGCTGAGTGGATCCTTCTGACAAGCCTACTGTGGGCTGTCATCTCAGGTCGCTGTGGCCGCATGGTTTACTTTGATTGGCTCTATTACTCAGGATGTTTGAGTCCTGATTGGATGATTAATTCATTTATGTATTCATGCATAAATTAATTCATGAAGTGTTAAATCTAGCAAACAATTATATTATATGTTATATGTTATGTTATGTTATGTTATGTTATATTATGTTATGTTATGTTATGTTATGTTATGTTATGTTATGTTATGTTGTGTTGTGTTGTGTTGTGTTACAGTGAGGTCCAAAAGCATGAGACCATGTTTTATTTTATTCATTCATTTTATTTATTCATGCATAAATTCATTTATGAAGTGTTAAATCTAGCAAACAAATATTGTTTGCTATTATATTATATTATATTATATTATATTATAAGGATGAAATAAAGGTTTTTGCTTGATTAGATGCAATTAAAATTTGCAATGAAAATATTTGTATTAAAAAAATTCAATAATATTTTCCACCTCATGGAATATTGACAATGATTTTTATGCTTATTTCTGTCCCATGTTGCAGGAGAATAACATGCACATATGTTTTCATTTCATCACTTCAGTCTAATGTGTCTTTCTCTCTCTTGTTCAGATGGAGGATGTGATTGGCAGGATGCAGGATGAAAAAAACGGCATACCTATCCGTACAGTGAAGAGTTTCCTATCCAAGATTCCCAGTGTCTTCTCTGGTAATTCCCCTACATCTGTTTTATATACACTGCTGGTGCTGAGAAAGCAGGATTCAGCAGGAGCCAGTGCCCCACAGCAAGCCTGAAGACCAGCACAATGAAAACTCGGCCAGGACTCTGTAGTGCAGCGCCAGTACCAGAGCCCTTCGTCTACTGATCTCTGTTGATAGCCTGATCTCTATCAAAGGTCTCTGGCCTGCATTGCTCTGGTGAAGAAGCACAATGAATTCTGGGTATAAAGAGCAGGGCTTGAATTGGTTGTTCAGGAGATTTGACTCATTATAGTTATTCTAACAGCCGGAAACAGCCATTATAAACGTAGCTAATGTAATATTCTGGCTTAATTTCAAGCTAATGTTTATGGACCACATCAGTGGCATGCTGTCATTTGCCACAAACCATAATTTTACAGTTAATTTTCAACAAAGGGATGAGTTGAAATGATTGTTTGTGGTATTCTATCTGTGGTCCATAACCAAGAATATTGATTTAACATCTTTTTAAAGAAAACTACAAAAAAGACGAATTATTCTATTTTTTTAAATAGAATAATTAGAATGTTTAATTTTTTATTGGATAATGATTGCACTATTTACATATCAGAAGAGTGCAAATGTTATACTCCTGTATATGCCATAATCCATTTTAAAATAGCAGGATTAGGAATGAAAAAGCAAGAGAGAAATTCTCAGAAGAATATTTTTTCGTTCCTCTGACTGCGGTCCCCCGGAGGATTCATTAAAAGGCCAGCTTCAAGCTCTAACACCCCAGTCTCTGCCTCTCTATGCTTTAAAAAGTCTCTCAAGCTCTTGGCTTCTGCTGTCTCTGGGGACATGCCTCTCATTGCTGATTGGCTGAGGCAGTAGTGGCCCTGTGCATATTTTGGGAATACTGGATTTGATTGGTCGGTAAGGGGTATCTCGGAAATATTTTTTTCAGAAGAACTTGTTCACAGTTTATTAATTTAGCAGTGACAAGGCTGAAAACGAAATACTTGAATGCAAAACTTTGAAATTAAATGAAACACCTTTTTATTCACTGTAAAATGGTTAGTAATACTTCTAGGAATAGCTGAAATTTGCTGAAAATATACTCACCCTCAGCCCATTCAAGATGTAGATGAATTTGTTTCCTCATCAGAACAGATTTGGAGACATTTAGCATTACATCACTCGCTCACCAATGGATCCTCTGCAGTGAATGGGTGCCGTCTGAATGAGAGTCCAAATAGCTGATAAAAACTTCACAATAATCCACAAGTAATCCACATGACTCCAATCCATCAATTAACAATTATCAATTACTTGTGGATTATTGTGAAATTTTTATCAGCTGTTTGAACTCTCATTCTAATGGCACCCATTCAATACAGAGGATCTACAGTATTGGTAAACAAGTGATGTGCTAAATAGTGCTAAATTACTCCAAATCTGTTCAGGTGAAGGAACAAACTTACTCTACTTCTTGGATGGCCTTAGGGTGCGCACATTTTCAGCTAATTTTTATTTTTGGGTGAACTATTCATTGAAAGGTGAATATTTTTATATCAATCTTCCAGTGGTGTACTCTGACTATTAAGCTTTAATAATTACAGCTATATAATAATCACACTTCACTTTTAAAACAGTGCTCCGACATAATTTTTTGCCCTTTTACAGCAATTATGAGACTTGTCATAATTTATATAGAGATGTGTACCTTACTCTAGGCATTCATTTACTGTAAGTGGATATGCATTAACTAGTTCATGGTGTTGACTTCTTGGTTGCTTCAAGAGCCGGACAGAAAGAGGACAAATAGGGATTTAGGGGTGCAGGGGTGAAGATTATACCATTCTGCTAATCCACAAAATACTGCAGCAGAGCTCTGCTAGACTCAGATCCTCTTTGGAGCATCCAGAACTGCTGTACTTACCTTTAACAAAATGTATACAGTTCTGCTGCTTAGCAAGAGAGAGAGACAAGGATTAGTCTGAGAAAATGTAGAAAGAAAAACTAAACAAAGAACTGTAATTTTAGGAAGTGGTGGGCAAAAAGAACAGATGCAGTGGAGATGAATAAAAGATAAAGCTTAGCTAGAATAGAGAATGTCAAAATGAAAATACTAAATGGACAATATCTCAGACAATACATCTGTTGACACAAAGACTAAAAAACAGCAGTTCTGTCGTTCATCTTTATCATTATCATCTGTGGTGTGGTTTAACTCATTTTTACACTGATTATGAGTTTATGGTAGAGATAAAAAATAACTTTTTTTCTCAAATTCTGATGGCAAGTGAATTGAAAGCATTTATTACCAACCATGAAACAGCATTTTGCAGATTTTTAATTAAAAACTCAAATGAATGAATGAATGAATACATAAATAAATAAGAAGATATTTTTAGTTTTCTTATGTCACATTTCAGGTTTTCCTTAGCAGACCCTGCTATTGAGACTTGATTCAAATTTTTTGAGTAGCCAATTTGTCATTTATCTTTTTAAAAAGAGACACACAATCTCCTTAGATTTTGAACAGTAGCCTTCTTTTCTTCTTTTCCAGGTTCAGACATTGTGCAGTGGCTGCTGAAGAATCTATGTATCGAGGATCAAGGTGAGACAGCCTTTTCTTTTCTTTTCTTTAATCGACAGTGCTGCAGCTGTGATGTGCGTAGATTAAAAATCAACTCTTATTTTGATTCATTCAAATGCACTCTTTTTATAAAAGTCAAAATCATAGCTTCAGCTGACAGGATAATATATTCAGGATTTGCATATTCATAATTATAAGTTGGCAAACAGCTAATGTCAGCATCTCCTGTTACTCCTTTAATTGAAGAAGAGGAGGGGAGGAGGACATTTTACAGTAACACACAGAAGATAGTCGTTGAAAGAGAAGATTATGTTTCCCAAAGGCTTGTTCTAACTGCTGGATCACTTTCGCACATATGTGTCTTCAGCAACAAGAATGGAGAAACTCCTTTGAAACCGTAGCTTGCCAAGCAATGCACTACTACACTGAAAAACAATTTTCACTCACAAATTGCTAGGAAATTTCACAAAAAATTACAAATAATGACAAGTAACACTTTGAATTAAACATGAATAAAATGTTGACATTAATTTAGTGTGAAATTAAGTATTTTAGTGTCAATTAGTAGACAAGCTACTCTTCTACAAAAAAAAACACAAGCTACCATTCACTAAAATTATGTATTATTTTTAAAATTATTAAAATATATTTGTTCGTAACCAATGTATTGTTGCAACTAATTGCAGCTAATGTTTTATTTACTCAAAAAGCTAATTTGTTCTTGCATTTGCTGTGGTAGTCTGAGGTTTTGTGAAGATGGAGTAGGTTTTGGGGAAGAAGCAAAGAAGATAAAGAGATTTTTTTTCTTTACACAGCAGTGAGATTCGATTTGTTTCTGAGTATGGTGTATATCCATCTACTTTAGATTCCCTCTGACAGATTTGACAGGTGTGTGTGAGTAAGTGTGTGATAGGGGGCTCTTCTCAGACAGGAAAAGAGCAACCAGATAAGTGCACTGAACATCTCAGTATACTCAATAGACTGTGCCTGAAACAAAGGAGAGATAAAAAGTAAGAACTTTAAAAAAGTTTCTCTCTGTTCAGTTCTTTGCTACACTGCTGATTAGTGGGATTTACCTTGTGAACATGCCTGGTGGGATGCTCTCATCAAAACAACAACAGCTGCAAAAGCATACTGCACCCTTGAAAGCAAAAGGATATTAATTTGTAATCAGCACAGACACATGCTCTAAGGTGCACACTCACAGTAAACACTTTATTGTAAAACTTTAATAGATAATAATTTATTGATGCTTAACTCCCTCTGCTATGGGTTCTGCAGTTCTGCTGGTTGTAGCAGAATGTTTTTTCCATGCTTCCTGTGGTAGATGCAGTAGATATTCCCCTGGTCATACAGCATACATCTTGGAATATCATTTACATTTCTTAAAGGATAGATTATAAGATTAGAATGGGAAAAAAGAAACTTCCTATAGATTTGAGTATATATATATATAGAGAGGCATTAATGTTTGCATGCGTTGCAAAAAATGTATATCTTCCTCAGTATTTTTGTTTTCCAATACAAATATCTACAAAACACTTTAGAACAAGATACATTTACTTGAAATGCTAATGTAAATGAAATCTAGATAAACTGAACAAAATTAAGTGAATTGTGTTTTTTTTAAATAATGAATTAAAAATTAGAATTGTTGGAAATTTTATTTTCAAACTTCGAAGTGTTGCTAATACAACTCATTGTGTGCTCCCTAGGCATTTACATTCAGAGAATGATAATGAAGCATTGTGTTCCCTTAAATTTATTCCTTATATTTTCTTTATTTGGTCCTTAAAATTTACCTTCACCAAAACCTGCAAAAAAAAAAAAAAAAAAACCAAGATATAAAATTCCATCAATAGTTCAGTTAATGCAAATTTTATTTCCAGAATTACAGTCAGTGTCTCTGACATTCTGCTCAAATTTCATACCCCTTGTTTTGTACATTTAATTTTGGAGCAGAAATAAAAAAAATAATAATCTTGACATAAAGAGTTGGGTTGTCATTTCGTACTTGCACTTCTAAAACCCCCATTATTTGTTCCTCTAGTGGAGGCTCTTCATCTGGGCACACTGATGGCGGCTCACGGCTACTTCTTCCCCATCTCTGACCATGTGCTCACTCTTAAAGACGATGGCACATTCTACAGATTTCAGGTCAGTTGTTTTGCTGATTTGAGGAGCAAAATAGAGAGTGGACATTTGGAAACACTTTAAAATACAGCATCCATGCTAAATATATTGCATGTTATTGCATGCTAATTATATAGCAGCCTAATAACATGCAATACAGTAGCTAGCTCAGATACTGATCGCTCCATCAAATAATTACACATTAAGTTCATGTTGTTCATTAGAATTAATCAGTACTTTATAATGTAAATATATAATATAATAATCACTATAATATAATAATCACTGTAATCAATGTAAACTGTGACTAAATCTTCATTAAAAACACCTGCAAGTGTCCTATTCATGTTTGTATATAAACTGAGCTTTAAAAGTTTATGTGCTTGGAAAAACTGAGTTCATATTGTACTCTTTCATCGGTCAGACTCCGTATTTTTGGCCCTCAAACTGCTGGGAGCCCGAGAACACTGACTACGGTGAGTTTTGAGCGGGATCTGTTATCTGTATCTTACTGAGAACGGTCTATATGAACATGTATTTAATTAAATCCTCCAGATGGCTGGAGATCAGCTGGATCATGGAATGTTAGGAGTGTGTGAGCTTTAATAAGACTAGCCTATATAAACACAACCTAATCAAATCCTTCCAGCTGGATCGTGTGTATGCGTTTGTTGTCACTACATAAAACCTGATCCTTCATCTTGAACATTATATCTATGTTTACAGGAGAACTGTACTTGTAATATGTGTTCTGTATTTTAATCTCATTCATTTTCATAGGTATTTGTATGTAAAATGGGGTTGCAGCAAGGGCATTTTTGTGCAGTATTATATACTTTACAAACAAATAACGATGAATACAATTGCGATCACCCTGCATTATGATTGTGTGCATGAGTGTGCCTCGGCTTAGGTAAATTATGCTTGCTCTGAATTCAGCAATCAGAACAAAGCAACGCTCAGGTGCGATTTGGTACAAGCTGGTGTGAAATATGTTAAATGTTTACTAAATATTTTAGACACCTCATTTGAAAGCCCTGAGGGCTGCTGAGGTGTGTGTGAGCAGTGTTTCTCACACACCTCTCGGCATCTCTCTGCAGCTGTGTACTTGTGCAAAAGAACAATGCAGAACAAAGCACGTCTGGAACTTGCTGATTATGAAGCTGTAAGTAATCTTCTCTTCGTTTCTCCCTCCTCTCTCTCTCTTAATTGTAACAATGCACGTCTCAGGCTTTGTACTTCAGACATTATTAGATAGAAGATATTAGGAAGATGATAAGGTAATGACAATCTTTAAAAAGAAAGTCGGCCTAATCCAAGCTGGGCTTTAAATGTCAGGCTTTGTTTGCATAATCCATGTAAGCTCTTCGGTAGGCCTGCATAGATAGATCTCTTTCCACTAACGTCTTTCTTATATTGAACTGTAAACATGTAATCATTGGGCCTCCTCTTCATTTTTCTATTATTAAGTTAACCCTTGTGCTGTGTTGAAAATCCTTTACCTAATTTGGTGTCGACCTTCCTTTTAAAATATGCTTGTAATCTCTCATAATGCTATATTTTCACCATACCTGTTTGACAACTTGTTTTCTTTCAGTTAGTGCAGGTTTTGTATTTGGAACTGATTGGTCTTAGGCCTCATTGATCTGAGGTTATGCAACAGTTTTTGGGTGAACACATATTAGTTAAGGATGATTTTGCCAATGCTCAGCTCAGATCATTGAGGCCTATGATCAGTCAGTTCCAAAAACAATCAAAAAATTTTTGGGGGAAGTTATTATACTGACCTTAAAGTAAGTTTAGTTTTTTGGAAGAAAGAAACCCCTCTCTGGGTAAAAATGACTGGTACATGACATTAAACAGATGGCTTCATTATCTACAAAAAAGCTTTTTGTTTTTTACATTTTGGTCATCTAAAAATGTTCTTCTGTTCTCTTTCAGGAGAGTTTAGCACGACTACAGCGGGCATTCGCCAGGAAATGGGAGTTTATATTTATGCAAGCAGAGGCTCAAGCAAAGTATGTATTTTTCAGTCTTTTATATGTTATGATCAGATCATGTATTTTTTGTTGTGCATTTGTAAAAGCCAGCCGCCCAGTCAGAAGACAGGAAAGTGACTATTTACATAGTAAGAATTAAAATATTAATGGGCAGTTCTCTTAAAATATCTGTCAGGCTGTTGGTTGTTCTTATGTTGTCTGTGCTAATGGATTTTAAAAGTCTCTTGGACATAAATTGTGCGGTAAAATTGTTTTTGGATTGCACAGAACTTGTCTTATAAGTCACTTCTGCTGTTGTTCCAAGTAATTCTATAGTGCCTCTTAGTGCCAAAACATTAGGCAGCTTTATGACTTTTCAGCTCAGTTGCATGGTTCATTGCATGTTTGCTTTTTCTTTTGGAAGTTAAATGTTTTAATTGCTTTGGCTTGGTGTTCTGTCTGTACAGAGTCGATAAGAAAAGAGACAAAATTGAGAGGAAAATACTGGACAGTCAGGAGAGGGCTTTCTGGGATGTGCACAGACCAGTGGTGAGTAAATGTGTGTGTGTCTAAGTGCTGGACTAAGTCTGTGGAAGAACAATGCAGCTATTCTCTTTTCTTCTTCAGAATTATTCTTTGTTGTTCTCGAGTGTTTGAAGTTGTTCCCTCGCAGAGGAATGACATAACAGTGTTGAAGCCCCCCTGAGTTAATGGAATCGCCTCTGTGCTTCAAGAATTGTCGGCTAGTCATAAAACTGAACACACATTCTGAAAATCATATATCATTCCTTCCCTTAGACAATATTCTACAAAGTAAAAAGTGAACATATGCGGTTGTCCCCTAAAGAGCTATTCCTACCTGATCTATCCTTTTAAAATTTCTTCAGTTTGATTTATCTTAATGCAGTTTATTCAGTTATACAAAATATTTTGTAAATATTGTATTTTAATGTTTTTTAAACAAACTAGATTTAACATTTGATTTTATTTTGTTAGTTTCTTTTATTACCCAAAGAAGCACATTTTCCATATTTCCTATTAAAGCATTGAAATAAATTCATGAAATAAAGCTTAAAACTCTTAGGAATCCCTAGAAAACGCTTTATGAAAATTTACCTTGGTTTTATTATATTAATACTGTAAGAACTATTGTATTTTGGTAGAAATGTTATATGGTCAAATGCCAACATGTTAAAGGTCCCATATTGTCAAAACTGAAATTTCCTGGCTTTTTTCATGATAACTGAGGTCTAGGGGCTATTTAACTACCATATAAGTTTCAAAACAGTCAGTCCACAGTAAAATGCACACAGCCTGCATAAAGTAGCTGTGATTTTTCACAAACCTATTTTTACAGCTACGTTATTGTTCCAGCCACAATTAATCACAACAATGTATATACAATTACAAATGATTATATATAAATCGTCAGTTTGTTGTTTTACACACATGCACACAGACATTATTTCATACACGACATAGTCATGAGATGCAAGAAACATAGACATATGGCAAGAAATCTGTAGACGCGCCCATAACAACAAAAGACAATACTTTATTGAACCTTTTCTGATAAGAAGTGTGCGCTGCAAATGCTAGAATTTTTGATGATGGTTTCTGTCCAGTCTGCTCGTTTTATCGCGTTTAACCACAGCTGTCGTCGGTTTTTTTGTCTGGCAGTGGCAGCAGATATGCGATCAAATTTCTAATTTGAGGCTGTATTACGTCGATTCTGGCACCCAACATCACAACAAGATGATATTTTAAGCTCCTTATGTAGCCGAATCTGCGCTGGTTTGAATGGGCCGCCTCCAGTAGGGATGGGTAGATCGATCCTTAAGTATCGATACTTTCGATACTGATGTTGTATCGAAAGGATCGATCCTCACATAAAAATATCGATTCTAAAGTGCATTTTTTAACCCATAATTTGATTTATTTATCAAGAAATTCAGTGCATAAAAAAAGCTTCTAAGTATATTAGCGAATAATTGTGTTGGATAGAACCATTTCTCCTGCTCATCGGAACACACGCAAATGCTGAAAGACAGAACCAATCAATCACAGACAACGTTCACTGGCTCACAGTGCTTGTTTAAATAGGGCTATGTTTCCCAAAAGCATCAGAAGCATAAGTAGATCTTAAGAAACCATTGCCACATTATTACATTAGCCTACATAACATTGTTACTATATATAAAATTAATTCTGAAAAATGCATCACGGTTTCCACACAAATATGAAGCACCAATGTTTCTTGAGCAGCAAATTATATTAGAATGATTTCTGAAGGATCATGTGACACTGAAGACTGGAGTAATG